GTGCGTCTGGTTTGAGCTCGAGGCTGGCGGCGTCGTCCCGTGCCTTGAGGGACTCCTCTTGTCTTAGGTGCGTCTGGTTTGAGCTCGAGCTGGCGGCGTCCTACCTGCGCACGGGCGACTACGGCCGCGCGCTCAAGAATTTCGCGCACGTGGAGCAGCACTTTGCAGACATTGGCGAGGACCAGTTCGACTTCCACACCTACTGCGTGCGCAAGATGACCCTCCGCGAGTCCGTCGAGAGCGCCCCCTCGCCAGCTGGCCGCCGTGAGGAGCGCCTCTTCACACCTGCAGCTGTGAACAGGTGCGGGGCCGGGTCCTCCGCGACAGCTGTGAACAGCGTCTCCTCACACGCGCAGCTGTGAACAGGTACGTCAAGATGGTCCGCTTCGAGGACACGCTGCACGGCCACGCCTTCTACGTGACCGCCGCGTGCGGCATCATCGACACCTACCTCCGCACCCGCGACTGTTGGGCAGCTGTTCACACGCGCAGCTGTGAACAGGCATCGTCGACACCTACCTCCGCATCGTGGCCAAGCCGGCGCGCGACGCGGCGGCCGCCGCCGCGGAGGAAGCCGGCGGCGGGCTGAGCGTGCAGGAGCGTGCAGAAGAGCTCGGGCCAGCTCGGGCCATCTCGGGCCATCTCGGGCCATCTCGGGCCATCTCGGGCCATCTCGCGCCATCTCGGGCCATCTCGGGCCATCTCGGGCCATCTCGGGTGATCTCAGCGTGCAGAGCGGAAGAAGGCCGGGGTGACTGACAAGTAGCAGTCCGTCAGTGGCTCGCTTCTCCACTCGTGCAGGAGCGGAAGAAGGCCGAGTCCAAGCGGCGCAAGGCGGAGGCAAAGGCGAAGGCGGAGGCGGAGGCGCAGGCGAAGCGCGACGCGGACGCCAAGGGCAAGGACGGCAAGGGCGGCAAGAAGGGGGGCGGCAAGGAGAAGCCGCCCGACGACGACCCCTACGGCGAGGCGCTCGCGTCGGTCGAGGCGCCGCTGGCCAAGGCGCGGGCTGGGGGCGCGGTCCCGCTGCTGCCCCACGCGCCGGCAGTGGACCCGTGGATGCATGCATGGACTAGGCGGCGGGCTACATGCGGACGCTGCTGCTCCACGCGCCGGCGGAGCTGCGCGTGCAGGTGCTCGCCTGTCAGCTGGCCATGTGACCTCTTAGTTCTCGTTCAGAAATGAGTGAGCGAATTCAGAGCTGCGCGTGCAGGTGCTCGCCTGTCAGCTGGCCATGGCGCGCTCAAAGCCGCTGCTCGCGTTGCGCGCGCTGCGAAAGGCGCTCATTGGGGGGCGGCCGGGGGGGGCGGGGGGGAGTCTGACGTTTCCCTGACGTTTCCTTCCGTGAGATGCGGCCGCTTCAAGAGTGCACCGAGGTGGTCGATGAGAGGAGGGGGGGGGACCTAGAGTGGAGGTGAGTCTGCCCGACTGCTGCGACAGGCGCTCTCGCTCGGCGCCGCGGACGCGCAGGTGCACCGCAGCGCCGCCCGCTTCCTCCACCTGTACCGCGCGGGCGGCGCGGCGCTGGCGCCTGCGGTAGCGACCGGTGGTGAGCGGCACAGCGCGCAGATTCTTGCCGGCGGGGGGACTGCCGACCGTGGCGACGGCCGAGGCG